GGATGTAGGTCATTAATCTCTTGACATATCGACTTGACCTTAGGGAAATATTGAGCAATTGTCATGTCACATTGTGGGATTGATAATAGCTCATTCTCCAAAAGTTGTAGTCTCGTATCATTCTTCTTTAAGAAAAGCATCACAAATGTGTCCCAAGCTTCTTTAGGTGTGTTCTCATCCTGAATATGCTCCAACATCTCTTCTTCGATTGTGGTCTTCAAGGCAAACATTTTTTTGCCTACTTTGTTTTCCATTTGCACAAAGCACCATTAACATCTTCCTCTGGTGGCGTAGTTTCGCTTCCACCAATGACCTCCCATAGATCTTGTCCTTATAAGTAGGACTTCGTACATGTTTCCCATGTTTTGTAGTTGTTGTTGAGTTTCTTGATTCCTCCAACAAATTGGAGATCACCCATCGTGTTGGAAGTACCTCAGTAACACCAAACAAGTTAGTTTCGACACCAAAATTGCAAAGTTACTGACTACTCACGATACAAAGAGAATTACTCATTCTCACTATCAAGAAACCTCACTTTGATACCAAATTTTTAAACACAGCTCTTTGTGTGGGAAACAACAATACTTTTATTAAGACACTTAAGAAGAACTTAAACTTTGAGAGACTACTACACACTTTGATTTCTTTGAGATGTTTCTTAGATGGTTTCGATGTTGGATTGGTTTGGAGCAAATGAGCTCCATACATATTTATAGGTGTTTTCACCTCCATATAGGAAGGTTCTAGATCTACATACATTCATGACTATTCTACTACTCTCTATCGTATTCTATATCTATTACAAACTTCTATATGTTTCTAAAATCTTCTATAATGTTATGGAGAGGTCTGGGATGCTCCAATGTCTTCTAGAATGATCCATAACCTTCTAGAGTCTTCAATGTCGTTCTATAGTATTCTAGAGTCTTCCGACATCTTCTATACTCTTCCATAGTATTCCATAATCTTCTAGATCATTGTAGAACATGCTAACTTCTTCTAGATAATAACATTGATTCTATTGGGCTAGTGATGACCTTCAACATTTGTCTCCACCACAACCCAAAATAGTTGTGTTTACTTTAACCAAGGTGATTGAAGATTCAATAGACTCTTGCATTTTTTAGGGTAAGGATTTGAATTTTAGGTTTATTAACTTTGGTCTTAAAGGCCATTTATCTTGTAATTTGCAACGAAAGAAGGTATGCACCTCTTTTTTAATGTCATTGGAGTCATAGGACCAAGTATCATTTACTGAAAGCCCATGGACACTATTCTTTCTATGCTTACTTTTCAAGGACCCATAGAAAAAATTAGAAATTTCTTCCCAATCTGTGATCCAATTACTTTTTACTTTCTATTGTAGATTTGCTTTTGCTAATGATCAAGTTCTAGAAAATTCGTATTGTCCTCTCTCCAATTAGTGTGTTCCGCCTCAATAAGAATACAAGAAACAACCTCCTTTTCAATCTCTTCAACCTTCCGCCTATTCGCCATTAGGAACATATCCGGGTTGCCATAACCAAGGATGACTCTTATGCATCCCAAAAAATGATATTAAAGTAATCAATAGATAGCCATGAATTAAAAAAGCGGAAAGGCAGTGGATAATGACATTAATAATCAATAGATAGCCATGAATTAAAACCTATATTGATTTTTGAAACTCGCATTTCTAAATTTGTGTTATTTTTTTGCTAGCAGGGGTGCACCTAATTCAATTATTCTCTACTTAAATCATCATGCGACTTAAAAAAAACTATAAACCTCTATCAATTCTTTTTTCCACCATCATACAAAACTCCTTCAATATCGTGGCTTTGTTTTGCAACTCCTCTTCTAAAATGCCCAATTTTCTACTTCTTTGGCGCTCCTTGTTTTCCTCCACTTTGTTGCTAATTTTGGAGAGCCGACCAACTTTATCCCAATTTTTTTACTCCTCATCTAGTTTTGAGGAAGTGCTTACTTTTCGCTTTGCCTATCAGCGTTGTGGTTTCAATATCGATAGTGGTACATAATAGGGATGATAATTTGAATCGGTTCGTAAAAAACCGGAATCGGATTTGGGTTTTTCAGCATAGTTATCGGTTCTCTATATCCTACTAATCGGTTCCTGATTCTTTGGTTATCGGTCTGGTTTGGTCGGATCCGAAAATGAACACATCCCTCAAGGGCACACTTTCGTGTAGAACCAAATTGGAATCATAACTGAACTGGAAGCCAAATTCGTTGCAATGGGAACAAGGGTATTGGGGGGGGGGGGGGGGGCGTGTTTGGATTGCAAAAGTGTTTGTGGTGGGAATAAGCAATATGCAATAAGCAATGGGGAAGATGCTTATTAAAATCAACTTATTTAACTTATCCCTATCACAATAAACTGATTTTTAAGGATTCTTATCAAAACACTTAAACTTAGCATATTGTGGTGGAAATAAGCAATAAGCAATAAGCACCCTCTTTTTTCCCTATCCAAACACCCTCTCGAGCGGGTTCCTTGTTCTCCCTTTGCCACTAAGCCGGTTCTTGGTCTGGTTCCAGATCAATACTCATTCTTAGCACTCTATTTTGAAGATATGCACCGACAACATCATCAACCCCTATAGTTTTATTAATGTCAACAGTTTTATTAATGATGATCTTACCATGCCTATAGTTTTATTAATGTCAACAGTTTATATTGGAAAAGATCCAAGGGTTTGTATTATACTCAAGGACGAAATTATGAAGCCAAACATCTTCAACAACAACATTAGTTAGCCCTAACATTCAACTTTTATGCTAGAGCGTGAGACAACATGTACCTACTTGGAGGATCATGAGACAAGATTGTCTCTAAGATAGACACATGATCCTTATTTGGACTGATGGATCTAAGGAAAGTCGACCTAGTCAACTTCAATATATGAGACTAAGTGATTAAGTTATCAACAAAGGAAGAATTAAGTTGAACACGATCAAATATAGTACCATGAAAGATACATAAGAATACACTTGACGACAAGATATTAAGGATTACATGGGTCATGCATGTATAGACATACCTACTAAACAACATAATCATTATCTAGCCAAGTGAAGGTTATATATTAACAACCACCAGCCATGTTACGATATAAAGTGGTGAGAGTCCCCTTTATGGAAAGCTTAGGCTTGTAATCGATATGTGTACTATAAGGATTGCAAGTAGCCATGTTATCATGAATGAGGATGTATCTAGCAAACTCCGACTTGGAATGAAACAACCTAGTAGATTTACGAGAGGCCACAATACCCAAAAAGAAGGACATAGGGCCCAAGTCAGACATGGGAAATTCATATGATAGCCTGAGATGATGTGCCAAATCAAAGGAGTGCAAGAAGAATTTAAGATGATATCATCCATATATAATGGAAGATAGTTAGTATCATTTCCACAGGAGAAGGTAAACATATAATTGTTTGACTTGACACTCTTGAAGTCTAAAGAAGAAATGTAAACCGCAAATCACTTATGTAGTAGTTTTATTAGGAGGTTGTTGTATAAACATAAACTAAAGATGAAAGTGAGGTTGGTGGGATGCTTGGGACCGACATTGGTTGTTGTGTGATATTATTGTTGGGTAGAGACGGTGCTTGGAGTTGGATATTAATGCATGGGGGCATATTGTTGATCTTAGAAGTAGGGCTGATATGGTACAAAAATGTTGTTGAACAGCTTCTAGAAAGGACCAAGAGGGTTGGTTTTCTTCTGAAATGAGGCATAATTGAGTTGAAACTATAGATGAGGGATTCAATGTGATTTTGGCTACTAAAACATGCCAAGAATTCTTGCAAACTGTTGTTGAAATGCCGAAAACCTTGACCAAATTGTGAAAAAGTTTCAAGGGCATTAGTATTTTCGTAGTAAGCATGAATGTTGGCATTGGAATGTTGACTCAAGCCTTGTGAACCTTTAAAATGGTTAGCGGTGGTATAAACAATAGCCTCCCACACCAACCATTAGATCCATTTTTATTGAGCCTGTTTTTCAACTTTCTAGTTTTTGTGTTACTAGAGTACAAAGAGGTAGTGATTTGCAATTTGTTATCAGAAGGAGATATCTACGTTTTCTTCTAAGCCACATGAAGGAAAAGCATATTTTTGGTTTCCAAGAAGGATGGAAAGGACTTGGTGTTGGTGAACATCAACAATGTTGTGATATGAAGTCGGTATTGTCAAAGAATTTGCATTACAAGTTTCACCTCAATATATCATAAGAAGATAAATCATCAACTAGATTATTAAACGCATGACAAAATTCGGTAATGGAAGAAGAGCCTTTTTTTTGTATTTTGAATCAATTCTTGAAGCTGTACCATGAGAGACATTTTGTTATTAAGGAAAAACTTTTCAAGCTTATCTCATAGATCCTTTGCAATGCAATTGTCACTATATATGATTTGGTGAAGGTGAGGATCAAACATGTAATAGAACCATAACCTAATACGATCATTAATAGCTTCCCAGTCCCATCATCATCATTGTACAAAGGACACCAAGTGGACAGTAGGAGGCTGGTAAGAGTCGTTGTAGACTTGTAGGCCTTTAGTTTGACGGCAAAAGAGCGACAACAAGAGGCCGTGTACACGGTGGAGCAGCAGTAATGATGAGGTGAATACAAAAGCCAGGAAAATATAGGGCAAGTAAATGTATTGGCAATAATCTACTACGCCAAGCTCGGTATCATGTGTGATACGGGAAAAGAACTATGTAGTTTTTTTTTTTCATTGATGTCAATATATAGATATACTAATTACCCTATATTATATAGAAAGTGTAAAAGTTATAGAAATATATTCTAACACCAACTATAATTTATTATGTAAAAAAAATATGAGAATACCTAAATCGAAAATAATAATCTAAGTACAAAGATTAATATATATATATTTTTTACTTCGAGTATATAACTAAAAAATATTTAAAAATATCAAAAATCGTCTCATAAATTTTGTCGTTACATGAGAATATTCTTTATGCAGGAACTATTATAGATGTACACACAAATGTGAACAGGGATGCCAAGCGTTAAAACAAGTTCAAAAACTGGAAGATGAACCACAAATGTATCGTGTTACATATCATGGGCATCACACATGCCAAATGATCGACGAAAACACACACTTGTTTTCGGACTATCAGGATCTAAGTTTCCGTCTACTTAATTCTATGGACTCTAAAACTATCCATTTACCAAATAGCCCCTCAACAATCAGTAATACCCATATTAACCCCTCAATAGAGCAAGAAGTTAATTCTAATGCACAAAGTATTGGTTATGGCCAATCAACCATTGGATTGTGGAACGATGTTTCCGAAAATGGATCTTCCGTCAATGATTTAACGTTTGATGAGAGTTTATTCTGTACGTTTGATTTTTAAAAGATAAAGTGTTTTAGAGTAGTTTATTTAGATGATCAAACTCCCTTTGAATGGTGGATATATTTTTGTTGGTTATATCGAAGGTTAAAGGTAGATGACAAAGTATGTTGTGGATTATAGATAACTAGAGGGTGAATCCATGCTTTGCATGGGGTAGTGGCATTTGATGAAGTTTGTTTTAAATGTTTATTTGACATTAAGTTTTTAGAAGCGTTTGTGAGCTTTTAACGGTACAAAAGTTTAGCTTTTAGTTTAACTAAAACGTTCATGCAGCATTTAATAAAATATTATTGAGCTTTTTAAATCAATTTCCAGAATTGCTCTTAAAAATATATTTATGTATTTATCTTTTTTAAACAATTATCCTTTTATCTAACTTTACATGTATCAAAAGCTTCGAACTATTTTTGCAAAACACTTATATAATAAATAAAGGCAACAGCGGTAGCTATCAGCTAACCGCTACTCACTCCGTTATAAGTTAGTTTTGCCAAAAATACCCTTAATCTATGTAGATTTTTTTTATATGTTTTGGGACAGAAGTAATTTTAACACACATGCAGTCTCACCCTGCATCTCACCCGACTACCACATGTGGGGACCATTTATTAATCCCAACAGTGTTTTAACTATTTTTACATAAATTGATACTCTCACTGCTTAACCAACAATTATTTTCTTTAATTTAGGAGACATTGTTATAGTACAATTTTGTAGTAGAATGAACCGAAAGTGTAATGCTATGATAATCAAATAAACAAAACTACGTTGCTCTTTATTGCATTTAATCTAGTTTTAAATAATACAAACGAAAAGATTCACAATGACCTTCTCTAATTTAAACATATTGTAGTTGTGAACAACCGTTTTGTATGAATCTGGGTGTTGTACAACCAACCAATTTGATTAAGAAATTAAGACGTTCAAGAGCAGAATCTGCATCTGATAGATTGTTCCATGTTTATGTTGACTTTTTTGAGTTATATTCTTCCATTTGTTGACAGCACCAACCATAGATGGTGTTGATGACCCTCCACTCCACGATTCTTGCAATACATACAAAATTTACAAAATCTTGAAAATACAATACTCTTTAGGAAAAAAAAATGAAACCAAAAGACTGTAATTATTATTGTTGTTAGCATGTTCACCAGATTCAATAGTGTTGGCAAGGAGAATTTAGTCATTTTATGATCCAACTTTCCTTTCAACACTTCACCAATCACTTCATCTAATGGTATGGTAGACATAATTTCTTTTTACCTTCAACGCAATCTCATTTACCTCTAAACGAAAATTATTTTATAAAATGTTGCTTCTTGTCTTGTGATACGACTCATCAAATTGCATAAAATAATCTTTAGGTTCTCTATCTGGACCCTTATAGCATACAAATCATCCCGTAATTTTTCATGCACTTATAATTTCATCATCTTTTTTTTTTGGATTATTCTTAGGACTAATATTATAAAAGCCCTAAATTTTTAACGCGTAATTGGTAAAAACCCTGATATTTTTTTTATTATTGCTCTGGCCACAACTTTTTGCAGAATTATCACTCTAGCCCACTTAACAAGTTTCATGGTTAACTTGGTTAACTTTTTTGCGAAATCAATCATAAAATGTTGAAATTTGGTCCCTGATGTTTGCAAAAAATTACACCATATTATTTTCTAACAATATTTTTCGTTTTTTGTATACTTTATTTATTTTCAGTTTTTTATTTTATAAATATATATACATTTTTTTTCTTTGTTTATATATACTTTATTCATTTTCATTTTTTTGTTTAACTTTTCAACAATTTGATTTTTTTTTTTACCTTTTGTTTTCTATTTTTTTAGTGTATATATAGAGTATATTAGAGGCTTTTTTCATTTTTCTTTTCGTATTATATTTTTAATTTTTTTCATATTTTTATTTATTTTTTTTCTTATTTGTTTTCCAATTATTTGTTTTTTTTTTTTTTTTTTTTTTTTTTTTTTTTTTTTATTTTTAACTTTTTTATTGACCTTTTTCGAAAAATGTAAAATGTATTAATATATTAGAGTATATTATAATTTTGATAATTTATAGTTTTTGTAATTTTTTTATTTTTTTTCAAGTAAATAAAATAGTTATGTTTATATTTGTAATTTCGGTCCAACATATTTTCTTTTTATTATTTTTTCTTTAGTGTTATTATATTTATGTTACGAAAAAATGAAAACTAAGAATTAGTGTTTCATTGTGCTGTTTAACTTGCAAATTAAATCATATTTTTATATATGATATCAATAGTTTAAATTCAAGATAATATTTTTCAATTTAAGAATACACTAAAAGAATGAACAAAAAATATAATAATAGTCGGTCTCTATAAAAAAAACTTGTTATAGTAAATTAAATTAAATTCAAGTTCGTTTACTTGAATCAAAATAAATAAAAACATTAGAAAAACCATAAATAACTAAAATATAAAAAATAGAAACATAATGTAAAAAAAAAAACATATAAACAAATTGTTGAAAAATAAAGTTAAAAAACTGAAAATAAATAAAATATATAAAAAAGAAATAAAAAATGTATATATATATATATATATATATATATATATATATATATATATATATATATATATAATATATTTGTAAAAAAAAAATTAAGTTTACAAAAAATGAAAAATAAACTTAAAAAACTATGTGGTGTAATTTTTTGCAAACATTAGGGACAAAATTTGAACTTTTTTAGGATTGATTTTGCAAAAAATTAACTAATTTAACCATGAAACTTGTTAACTGGGCTAGAGTGATAATTCTGCAAGAAGGTTGTGGCCAGAACAATAATAAAAAAAATATTAAGGCTTTTTCCAATTACACGTTAAAAATTTAGGGTTTTTATAATATTAGTCGAATTAAATATGGACTCTTATATATATATATATATATATATATATATATATATATATATATATATATATATATATATATATATATATATATAGGGCCAAGTTCATTTAGGATGGACTAAGCTTGCATGGATAGTCCATGAAGTTTTTAACCCATGGATCCTATGGAAATAAAAGGTCATGGGTACTAGGGTTTACATGAATGTAACCCTAATCCTCCATACTATATAAAGAGGTCTTTGGCACATGAAATGGCACTAGTGTGTGTGAGAACAAAGGGTGACCGATTTCTAGTGTGCTTTCTATTCTCTCAAGTCTTCCAAGGTGTTTTTGTGATTTGTGATTCCACTTGAGGCATCCACATTATTGATGCTAGGCTATCATAAGTTCAAGCAATCAACCACTAAGAAAAGATATGCTATTCTACCAAGTTTTTATATTACAAGCACCCCATAACATGCTAGTTAGGTTGAGAACCTTGGAAAATTAAATTTGCACGTATAATAGAGAAAACATAGATCCAAGGTTTCTAGGGTTGCATGTACAACATAGGAGTGTTAGAATGCTCAAAACTCTTCAGTGGTATCAGAGCCTAGGCTTATCTTCATTATAGTTGATGGAAAATGCTTGAAAAAGTTGAAAATCTGTTCACTAATCAGTGGAATCACCGACTCCATGGGGTGACTCGACGAGTCCAAGTGTAAACTCAACCTACTCGTCGAGTAGGTTCTTGTACTCCGCGAGTAGGTGGCCTTGTGTGCAGATTTTTGAGTTTTGTTGTTGGAAATGGACTAGAATCATTAACCTAAACTGTTTTGGACTTATAAAACCTGTTTTGATGTGGTAATGATTAGCTAATCCATTTTCAATGGTTATTGTCAAATTTTCAAGCTTCATATATGTTTATATGATTCTTGAAATTGTTGATATGAATGTTTATACTTATGAGTTTTTGTAGATCATAGGAATTATTTGCAAATTGTTTGTTAGTGTAATTCTTGATCTAAATGCCAATCAATGGACTCGATAACTTGTCCTCAAGTTGTGAAATTTCAAAAGTCTTTTCTTTAAAACCATTAAAACTCATAAGTTATAGAAATGAAAAGTCTTGAATAGTTTCAAAACTTGCAATCAAGTCTTGGAATTTGTAAAGTCTCACACACACTTTAATTCCAAACCCTAGAGTTTTAAAAGTTAAAATTCAACTCTTATACTTTATAGTATTATAAGTTTATATATATATATATATATATATATATATATATATATATATATATATATATATATATATATATATATATATATATATAAGATCAAGTCAGTCTTACCGTTAGTAGGCCTCATTCACGAAGCCGGTCTATAAGAGGGGTATAAGGTTGTTGCCTACAAAATGGTAGCTTAATGGGTGTCCACTCTCACCCACCACTTCCTTGATTGGTGGAGGGTCGTTAGCTGAACGGATAGGACAAGGACTATAATTCTCATTACAAGTATAATCATAAATATAAAGTAACTAAACCTTATATAATTTCCCAATCTTAGTTGCTTTAGGAAAATGTGAGATTGGTGCCAACCCATGAAATTACACTTTGTACCATACCAAGTCATTGGTGGAGCATGTGTGGGTAACCGACACACTAACATGGACTAGTAAGAGTGGAAAAAGGTGACTTAATGTTTATCATAGATCGGTGGAGCGCGTGTAGGTAACCGACACAATGATTAGGTGATAAAGATTAAGGGTACCAAGTTAATGTGCATGGTTATTCACACCTTGTTTGTGATCCTCGGCATCCCAGTCACAAACTTGAGAGGGCACAATCGAGATTTAAACACGCCATTGAAAAGTTCAATGAATCTCAAAAGATCTAGGAGTTTCAACCCAATTAAACCTAATCATTTATTTCGTTCTTCATGGTGGAAATTGGTGAATCGTCATTTGCCTACCTTCAAATATTTTAGAGCTTGGATTACGGCATCCCTCTTCCAAATTATAAAGTATTTTGTTGGGTACTAGACTTAATATTACATTTAGGTGTCTTATTAAGGATTCTATATCTAATCTAAATGTGTCTTTCTTCTATTCAGATGTCTTCCAACAATGCTGCTTCTG